GCTGATCAATGATTCTCTCTCATCATTGATGTTTCTTTCTCTCTCTCTCTCTCTCTCTCTCTCCCTCCCTCCCTCCCTCCCTCTCTGAAATCAATAAAAAGATGTTAAAAATTATAGACATGAATCATTACCATTCTATATAAAAGAGTAATAAAAGGAAACTGCTATATAAAATCATTTACAAACCTGATTCACAATGGTAAAAATCAATAGGAAATATATTAATTCAGTAAATAGGATACAAGTTTTTTACTATTTTTCTGAATGCTCATAAATCAGATCAAAAGAAATTGTAACTTCAATTCATTTGAATTAACTGATAAAATTTCAGTAAGAATTCTGAGTGGGAAATGTATTTTTCATCCTTTTAACATGAAAAACAAAACTTGGCACCACTAATCCACTAGGGAGAAGATCAGCAGGAATAAAACTTACAGTACTTTCCAAAAGGTGCTGTTTGCAGAAATGACTTCTTAAAATGTTAATTTCAGTGTACATAATGAAATAATAGCAAAAGTACCTGAAGCTGCGTATTAATTTAACACTTGTTATTACACATTAATTGAAATGATTAACAAAAGCTACAAAGTCGACTATTAATATTTTATTGAAAACTAGTACTATTTTATCTCAGAATTGTATTTCACACAGACATAGTCAGCATGGCTGATTTACTGGTATCAAATTATTTCTTTTGGGTTTTCTTAGGGAGAGAATCTATTTTACTTCCCTACAAAACTACAAAGAATAAATAAGTATCACCGTATCACATTCTGCTCAAAAAGATTCTGCTCATAAACCAAAGCAAACCAAGTTGTTATTGCTATCTTGTTGACACAGCTGTGATTGGATGACATTTTAAGAACCAGAAATTAATTCAGTCCTTGGATGCTTAAAACTGGAGCCAGTTGACGCAGCCATTTACTTTTCAACCTACAGATATTCTTATAAGCTATGAACTGGTGGTTTACGTTACCTGGGAACTGAGAGCAGCGAGTTCTTCGCTCTTAGCTTTAGCCTGCTGGAAGAGGGTTTGCACAGAGTCCTGGAAATCTGGAAACCCATCCTGTAGATCGAAGAATAAGTCCTTTTTTACTTAGAATTTCTAAATAAATAAACATATGATCTAAAGTTCAGAAAATAAAGCAAAGACAACCATCTTAAGTAAGATTTCAATGTACAGTGTTTCATTTCTGTCTTTTATGGTACAACTACCTTATTCTAGAGTTGTAACCTCAATAAAAACATAAATGAAAAAGATAAAAAGATTTATACATCCATACTATTTTACATTGGAAGGCAGAATTCATGATCAATGATAATAACATTTCATATAACTTTTCATCTAGTGATTTGCTTACTTAACCACTATCCCCATATTGGACATTTATATTATTTTCCTTATTTTTGGTTTGAAAAACACTGCAAAAATATTTCCATGGAAATAGCATTTCACATAGTTCAGAGATTCCCAGAAGTAGAATTACTGCAGAGAGATGAGCATTTTTATGTTTTCCACATACTTCCTACAAGGGCCTTTCACTGGTTTGCCATATCATCTATACTAATAAAAGCCTAGGTGGTCCTAGTGCCCTTGCGTGCGATCCTGCCACAAGATGACTGCACGCACAGCGGAGACGGGGCCCGGTGGCCGCTCTGCGCGGTGAGGCCTGGGGCTCCCGCGGCTCCGTGTGGCATGGAGGAGGTGGGTCGCGGCAGGGGAGGGCAGTGTGGGCGATCAGGCCGGCAGGGGAGGGCAGTTAGGAGTGATCAGGCCGGCAGGGGAGGGCAGTTGTGAGCCATCAGGCTGGCAGGGGAGGGCAGCTGTGGGCAATCAGGCCAGCAGGGGAGCAGTTAGGTGTCAATCAGGCCAACAGGGGAGTGGTTAGGGGGCGATCAGGCTGGCAGGCAGAAACAGTTAGGGGCAATCAGGCAGGCAGGCAAGTGGTTAGGAGCCAGCAGTCCCAGATTGTGAGAGGGATGTCCGACTGCCGGTTTAGGCCCGATCCTGCAGGCACCGGCAGTCAGACATCCCCGAGGGGTCCCAGATTGGAGAGGGTGCAGGCCAGGCTGAGGAACACACCCCCCCCCATGCACAAATTTCGTGCACCAGGCCTCTAGTCTATAATAAAAGTGTAATATGCTAAGTAGACCGGACAGCTGAACGACCTTCTGGACGAAGCCGGGACTGTGAGGGTAGAGGCAAGCCGCTGTGGCTGCGACTGATTGGCGGGCTGTGGTGGGTGGGCGGGGCCTCCCTCTGTGAGGAAAGCCTGGGTCCCGGGTGCTGGAGGGAAGCCGGTGCCAGCAGCCGGGGGAAGGAAGGCCTACTCTTGCACAAATTCCATGCATGGGGCCTCTAGTAAGCAATATCTGACAGTTCTGGCCAGCACTGGGTGGTGTTGCTTTCTCAGTTTGTGCCAATTTATTTTTGTTTTGATATTCAAAAATGTAAGTTTTATATACTGTAGTTGCATATAATTGTGTTTTATTTTGTGATTTCTTCTGTTGCTATTAAGTTTAGAAAAGGATTCTGCTTTAGAGATTTGATAAGTATTCACATCTACCCTCTAGTTTTTCTAAGCCTTTATGTGTGTGTGTGTGTTTATTTAATCTCTAACCGGGCGGGGCCTCCCTCTGTGAGGAAAGCCTGGGTCCCGGGTGCTGGAGGGAAGCCGGTGCCAGCAGCCGGGGGAAGGAAGGCCTACTCTTGCACAAATTCCATGCATGGGGCCTCTAGTAAGCAATATCTGACAGTTCTGGCCAGCACTGGGTGGTGTTGCTTTCTCAGTTTGTGCCAATTTATTTTTGTTTTGATATTCAAAAATGTAAGTTTTATATACTGTAGTTGCATATAATTGTGTTTTATTTTGTGATTTCTTCTGTTGCTATTAAGTTTAGAAAAGGATTCTGCTTTAGAGATTTGATAAGTATTCACATCTACCCTCTAGTTTTTCTAAGCCTTTATGTGTGTGTGTGTGTTTATTTAATCTCTAACCCACCAGGAATTTATTTTGTTAAATGTAATGTGGTAAAGATCCAAAGTAAACTTTCTTTAAGGTGCTACCCAACAGTCTCCATCTGAATTTCTGAGGGACTCTTCCACGTCGCGTGTGATTTCCCTGGACCTTCACTGCCAGGCAATGGAGCTTTGGATTAGAAAGACCTGGTCGGTGTTCCAGGCCCACCACTTAGGTTCCTGAACCTTCGTTTCCTCATGAAAATAAAGATGAATAACCCCTGAGCCCAGCAGTCGGGCCTTCTGATGGTGTCCCACAGCCTCTGGCAGTCAGTTCACTGTGGTGGGAAAACTACAGGGTGGAGGAGCTGTCACTCATGACGTATAAAGGTGGTCCCAGGGACCCAAAAGGACCCAAAAAGGAATGACTCAGAAATAAAAGGGAGACCGTTCCCCAGAAGCTGGGCTCTTCGCATTATGTGTGGGGCAGGACTTTTGTTCTGTCTCTCCAGCTTTTTCCCAGGAAACCAGAAGTACCATGCTATGAGCCATTTATCTTCATGTCCTATTCCTGGCTGCTGCCATTAATCACAGCGTGCCCTCAGTGGCGAGGCTCTGCGTCTGAGCACTGAGAAAACAGGAGATGCAGGGTGGGGTGCTGTTTGTGACCTCATTACCCTCACCCCCACCCCTCAACCTTCCCACCGAACACTAGCAAGCTGCCTTCATGTACTGCTGAGCCGTCTTTAACTGACTCACCCAGCAGATGTTCTCAGCCTCACACGTGCATTTTCCTTTTTTCTACTCACACTTTCTATATGAATAGCAGATTGTGTTGGGGACCAACCCCAACAGGTCCAGGGATCCCCAAAGGTGTGGATGGAGTTGGCGAAGAAGGAAGGACACGGAGACAGCCTTCAGTTGATCAGCAGCCTAGAAGGACCTCTAGCCAGGATCTCCAGCCAAAGTTCTGGTCGGAGTTCTGGTTAGGAACTGATCAGGATCTGATGAGGATCTGATGTTTATTGTCTTGTTACATCTATATTTATACCAGCCGATTTTAATCCTGTCAATTTCTATTACAAAGGTTAGGGCGTTTCTTATCTCCATTCCAGGGAGTAAAGATTATGTAGCTTAACTACCCGCCTGGCACTTAATTAAGGGGTTGTATCCCCTCCCTAACCTCGGGGAAAAATCCCCACCTGGGGAAACAACCTTTCTCGGAGAGGTGACCTTGGTTAAAACACATGGCGCTTAAGGAGAGCAAACATATTAAGAACAATATGCTATATATGCCAGGTCCCTTGAAACATATGCTGTGCAGATGTTTCTTTCCTGCAGCGACTGTGTCAAGCAGCAAGGATGGACCGGCTTCCGGCAAGATTGTAAGGCTTCTGTTTTCTGATCCAGAGGGGAAGAATCGACATCAAATTAGACCAGCTTCCTCTTCAACAGGCTTAGTGACAGCGTAGGTGGGTTCTGATCCTCTCCCCCTCCCGCGGCTCCCTCCCCCGCCCACGGGAGCTGTGGCAGATGTTTCCTGAGTCTTTCTTCTTTAAGCCCCAATTCTCTGACTTTCTGGCCTCGATTAACAAACTTCACTTCTCTCATCCACTCCTCTCTGATTGCTCTGCACTCCCAGCCCACACAGGATCAAGAATGCGGTACCTCCCAGCTCTGCCCCGTCTCCAGCCATTTCAGTGAAACAAGAAAACTCACAGCTGAGCTCTGAACAGTAACAGCCCATGGAGTCAGCCACCACGCCAGGCGAGACTGGCTTTTACATCTTCTTCCCTCCTCCTAAGACATCACTTGTAACACTGGAGGCATGACAGGGTTTGTTCATGGAGTGCAACACGTTCTTTATGAAAAAGGTTAGCAACTGAATCCACTTTTAACTAATGTTTCAAAAAAAATGAGGTGGAGACAAGAGTGCCAGGGCCTTGGCCTCTTGATGTTTCATCTCCTTTGCTAGTTGTCAAGCTGTCTTCAATCCTTTCCGTCATAGGTACGATATAAACAAATCAAGCTAATTTTTTATTTACTATTTATCTTCCCAACACAGTTTTTCCTCACTCGAAACAATTAGTGTGTCAAATGGTAATGCCTTATATTTATATTAAGTGTTTATAATTTAGGCTAAGTTTGTATTATTTGTGTTGTAATTTACATGAAGTTTTCTCCTCAAACCCTATCATTGTTTCCCAGAGAAGCTTCCTTGGATAAGGAAATGGTAGCTGCCGCTCTTCTCTGCGCACTCCACCCTCCATGGCGCACTAGTGGGAAGTATAATTCCAGTACGTAGTGTTTTTCACACCGAAGGTGCTTTGTGAATGGCCTCTGCTCTGAAGTTTAGGAGTCAGACCTAGATTGGGAAGGCCTGGCTCTGCCACCAGGCAGCAATGGGGCAACTTGGGCAAGTTCCTGAGCCTTTCTGGGCCTCTCCTGGCTGTAAAGTGGAAATCACAAAGCCTCCTAGAGGGTAGACAAGAAGGCTTGTGACAATGAATTTCAAATGCCTAGAGCAGTGATGGCAAACCTATGACACGCGTGTCAGAGGTGACACGCGAACTCATGTTTTGGGTTGATTTTTCTTTGTTAAATGGCATTTAAATATAGAAAATAAATATCAAAAATATAAATCTTTGTTTTACTATGGTTGCAAAGATCAAAAAATTTCTCTATGTGACATGGCACCAGAGTTAAGTTAGGGTTTTTCAAAATGCTGACACGCCGAGCTCAAAAGGTTCACCATCACTGGCCTAGAGGGACAGGCACGTAACAGATTCAGTAACAAAGTAGCTATGCTACCATGGCCCCAGAGCTAGATTTGGGGTCTCTGACCCATGTTCATGTCAGCTGAAAGAGGACTCACACACAGGGCAGCCACCCCGGGTGGGCAGCTGTTCCTGTAGCCTGGGCAGGAGAAGCATGGCCAGACCTCGCTCGCTGACAGAGGGAGGAGGAGGAGGAGCCTCCCGTAGAGGCCTCACTCCAAGTCAGGGTTCCCCTCAGGTTCCCCATGAGCAGGCGTCTTCCTCGGGGTCTCCTCATGCCTTCTAGCAATTATACTTTCACAACATGCACACCGACCATCAACACCACCA